TGCTTGAACTTTGCAGCAGCATTTTAATTTTACTTAATTCAATTATATCTGTTTGTTTGTCTTTCAAATCTCTGTCGTAACCAAGCTGTTATTTAAATTATACTATGTAAATGAAACTTCATGCGCCAAAAAAAGTGGCCAAACGGATTCCAGAATCTTAAAACAATCTCTTCTTTATCCTAACAGGACATAAACAGAAGTTCAGTTTTACTAAAAATCACTTGAAAACCGCAAGTTATTTTATAGTTCATGTGAAGATTATTTGTTCCGTTGTTTTTCGCTGCTATTTGTATGAACAGTATGAACTTGAATTAAAAATCTTTCTATTTTATCGGATAACTTGCAATACAAGAGCGACTACTTTACAATGACCAAAACTAGCGGCCCCCTTGAACAGCTGGTTACACATTAGAAATACCATTCAAAGGAGGTGAGCAATAGAAATTCAGTTCAGCGATTTTATTTTGTTAAACACACATGCACCTTCCTTCTAAATTTCAATAGATAGCACATAATGAGAAACGTTCTGTAGCTTTCTAAAAATAGAAAAATTTGTTAAATAATTATATGGGTTGCTGACTGCTAAACATAACATTGCTGTAAATATAAATGTGTGATTAATGAAGTATATCTGGCACTTTCGCTGATTATTTTTAAGTACCAATTTGTCACACGTTTATTTAATTCTGACAGTTACTTTATTTTTCAGCAGCCAATATTGTTTTATTGCTTTAAAATATTCCATGTAAAGAATGATGAAAATAAAGCCGTCTCTGAGAAAACCCGACTTTTATCCTATTTAACGACAAAGAAAGTTTCAATTTTTATCAACTCCGCTCGTTGAACGACAAGCAAATGTTGTCAAAAGTAAAAGTTGAGTTGCTGAGAAAAGGAACGTAAAATATTTAAATTCAAGAGCCAGAAGATGAATAAGTTACCGACGTTGAGTAAATAAATCTATTTCAGAAGGTTCTTGAAAAAAATTTTTTAGTTGCATTGTACACTTCTTTGACAGACTGCCTGTAATCCAAAAATTAGCTGTAGAAAAAAAACCGTATCCATTGCCGTGAAATAAATTTCACATTTTATCCCAGTAAGCGGTGAACATCTCAGTATGGCGTTTCTATCTAAATTCTTTTTCACCTAAAATAACGTGCCTTTCTTAGTCAGCTTTAGAATTTATTACTTTTCTGTAAAATAAAAGTCAACAGAGAGACAGCTGTAAAAAACAAGTGAACAAAAAGCAAAAAAAAAAAAACTCAGAAAATTGCTCATAATTTTTCCTGTCAAATTTTAAACATTCGAAAAAAGTTTCTAGTTTGTCTGTTGCTTTGAGCAAAAATATTCTTTACTTAATTTTTATTTGTTTTTATTTTTTATAGAGAAATATATTTAAAGTATATCTGAATTAAATACAAAGCACAAAATCTATTTACTTTGAAGTAAAAAAGCATAAATAAAACAGAGTTTTTTACAGACTTTTTTTTTTGATTGTGTAACAGTGCATTGAAGAGCTTTCTTCAGATATGTAATAACTTTTTTGCCATGATAGAGGAATGAAAAGAAATAACCTATTTAATCTTATCAATTTTTCTTCACTTTTAAACCTGAAAAATTTTGTCACATTTTTTTATGCTGAATCAGTGATGAAATGTGTTGATATAACCAAAACAATTTTTATCTAAAACATTAATTTAACAAGTAATGCTTCACAAGCATTGTTTGAAACAGTAGAAAAAGCAAATTCTTGATAGTAAAACGCAAAAGTGACAATTAAAGACAATTAGAATACCAGCAAAAAGTATTTTATTTTTAAATTGTTCTGGTTGACCTCAAATTATTCATGTTAATTTCAGCTTTTTCAATGTTTACTGTTTGTGAATGTTTCAAAAAATGAGAGCAAAAACTTTGAAAAGTCGCGGAGCAATTGTGATCCGAGTCTGTAATGAAGAAAATTTTATCAGTGTTTCTTTGCTATGCCAGAAAAACAGTAAAGTGTATTTACTGACTATCTAGTGAGTGGGACTTGTACATAAATATAAGTAATTAATACATCAAAAAATTATAATTTAAAAACTAGCAGTCTATTATTTCATCAACAAAAATTTATCATGTTTTCTAGAAGGAAAAAATTAAAGAAATTGCGGCAACAGATAAAAATATGTGGCAAAGTTTTTTACATCTTATGTCTTTTCCTTTCTTCATCCGTTCGTGTAAGGTGATTGAGTAAAAACACTGTTGAAACAAACAGTTGGTACAGTAACAGCTTATGGAGTTGGAATAGCCGTTGTTTGAAAAAATGAACTAGTTGCTAAAATAAGAAAATGAATTTAAAATTTACTAAATACGATTACCACTGTCGATAACAACGAAATCGTTTCAAGAAACATTAATGAATAATGTTCTGGACCAAGTCAAATGTTTTTTTGGAGAGCTAAAGTAAGAAATAGACAAAAAAAAGTGAATTTAAAGACAAAAAATATGCTTACAAAAATTCACCAATTTCAGGGTTTAAGGATAAAAACAAGCGAAAATTGATCAAAAGTTTTTTGGGTGTATGAATAAAACAGCGAATAAGTCACCACTTTATTTAGGCTATTTTATTGCTGCGATCGCTGGTTTTTTACCGCATTGTTTTCAGAACACCACCTCGTACTGAAAGGGAAAAATGCACAAATTTGAAACAAAGTTAATCTGGCAGCAAAATCTTTAATTCCTAAATTTATTACAGAACTGTAAATATTCCACATAATTGAACTGTACTAAAGCCTTTTCAACTAAACTTTAAAAATAAAAAACTATATTACTGGTAATAAAAAAAGTTTACAGAAGCAGTTATAAAATCTAAGAATTAAGGGACGTTCTATAACGAAGGACGTGACGTATTTGCTGAAGCAAGCATTCTTTTTTGTTGCTGCTACTATATTTATACTTTAGTGCTTTGATACTGTAAAAATAAATTTTATTTATTCTTTATGTTTGGTAGAAAAAGTATGTACCTTTTAGAAGCTATTGCAAAGGCAAACTGTATTTACAACAAAATTTATCTCATGATAAAGTAGCTTATCAGAAGAATAAGATATATTCAAAATTTGTGCACTATCACTTTTGTTGAGGTGAAAGATATACATTATTTTTGATCTATGCGTGAATCACATAATTCTTTTGCTCAGTTTTTATTAAACCTTTATTATACCGTTCACTGAAACGCTTTTTTTTTTTTTGTCGCTGTTCTTTTTGTATCCATTCTACTCATATTAGGCATCCCTTTGGCTTGCTATGATTAATCTCCCAAATTTTCCTAAGTCTTTTTCCGTGAGTCAAATAAGTATCACGGTTTGGGACACTAAAATTGGTTAGCAAAGCAACAAGTTGCGCGTTTGTTTTATTTGATGATGTCACCTTACGGAGGTTTCCTAATAAGTGTAAAATTAACATTCCAACAGCGTTTTCTAATAAAAAGAAATTGCAGTGTATCGGTTTTGACTAAATAACAATTTCACTAAACAGATTTGATGCCACTCATGTCTTTTTAGAACATTTACTTATCTTACTACATTGTTTAAACTCCAACAAGTCTAGCTTTTTAGCAAATTCGGAAATATCTAACTTAGCGACATTATTCATAACATTGGCTGATTTCATACTGCAGCATTTTGGTAGAACGATTTAGAATCCAACTGACCAAAATATACAGAAACCTTGTTTTTAATACTGCTGATTTTTTTTTTCTTTTTTTGGATTACGATTGTCGTTGTATTTTGTATAGAATTCAACAAGGATCGGAAGATACAATACTGTTGCACCAATATACCTATAAAATTAATAATTATGTAATCGGCTATCTAAGATTATTGACTTTTGAGGCTACAACCGCACAGTGGAGCTAACATCTCTCAAACTGAATTGTCATCAAAAACTGAACTTTTGTAAGGTCTTTTCAGAATACACTCACAACTCAGTGGCAGTTGTTTCCGGGAAGGCAATACTACGCTCAGCTTTAGCGTTACAGCATTTCTAGAATCTCAGGGCTCTAAAAATTCAATTAATTTTGTGCGCGTTATCTGAATTCTATTGTTCACGCTTTACGCCAAGAGCATACGGACGTGACTGCGCAAATGTAACTTAATATCGTAGGTAGTATTTCAGTACAAGTCATTAAGATTTCGCATTTCAAAACATTATTTATATTTCTTTCGTATCCGCCCGCTTTTTAATTTTTACTTTTATTTCTTTGCTTTCCAGTATTTATTATTCAATTATTCAAAAATTTCAAGAAAAAGTGAAATGAAAGAGTTCTGATTTTTTATATGACTTTTAGATCAGATTTCTAAAAAATGGCCACTTTGAAATATCTTGCTGCATCGCACAAAATGTAAATTTAAGCAGCATAATCAAAGTTGAGTGGTAATGAAAGTTGATGGCTTTTATGCACAGCAGGCTTGTGAACCTATGCGTAAAAAGAAATAGTTCATTCAACTAAGGAGGAAAAACCGTTGAGCATCATAAGAATGAATGAAGTAATGACTGAGTTTTATCTTTTTTTCCCTCTTCACACATATGCGAAAGAAACAGAAAACTGTGCGCCAATTCAGCTAGAGGCCAAACCATATCTTAGGAGTTTAAGAATATCCGTAAGATTACAGGTCCCAACTCAATAAACACCAGAGAGGATTTGAATTCCCGCGTTTTTATATCTGGACGCCTGCCAGCAGTCCTAGAAAACTCTGCCGGAACCTTTGTTATTTGAGGTACTTTCCTGATTTGAAAGTTCGATATGTTTGCAGTTTTTTATTGTTAAGCAGAAAAAAACGTTTGGCTGTTCAAGATGTATCAGATGCATAGAGTATTGGGCCCGCGATTTTATGAAATTTCCAGTTTAGTTGTTTACGAAATATCAGTTGCGAAAGAATTGAGGAATTATTCGGTCGAACAATTGATTTTAGCTATGGGAATCAAAAGCGATATTCTTGGGATTGTTTTATGGTCACTATGATGTTCCAGTAGGTGGTCGTTTTGCCCGTTGCAGCTGAGATCTTTCATTTTCTTAATGCTATCGAAAGAATCATTATCTGATGAACTGTCTTACTTGTTCTGATTGCAATCCGGAAACTTATTTCAGCTTAATTTTCTATCTTATTTTTTTGGGTGGGTAAGCAAAATTTTTTGATTTTGGACGTTTGTTCACTTTTTGGCAAGCTTATGTGCTCTTCTTTTCATTAATTACGATGACTTCATTTTTAATTTTTTTAGAATGCGGTTCTGTCGATCAGTAAATTTATCTCCCTGTTTTGAGTGGTGTTCGTTTAATGAAACTGATTCTGTAGGTGAGATTTCTCAGAGCAGGCGAAGTGTGAGAAGTCTTGCAGGAGATATGGCGGAAGTGCAGAGGAAGTTAAAAAAACAGTTGGGAAGTTGCCGACAGTGTACATTAAAGGAGAAATATGTATGGGCAAACCTTTGTGCGAACCAAAAAAAAAAACAGGTAAAAAGTTTGAGTGGTGGTCAATTATACGGTCTTGGGTAGTAATGTTGTTGATCATCGAGACGCTGTAAATCCATTCTTTATTTTTTATTTTGGTTACTGGTTTTACCTGAAAAGCGGGACCTGAATTCTTGGGAAAAATCTGCATTTAGCTGGGGTTGAATTGGAATCGTTTGATTGTCGCTTGAAATTTCTAATGTGTATATATATTTCTACTCTTTTTTTCTAAAGAGTTAAAATGCTTTTTTTTTGCGTTTTCTTCCTTTTCAACTAAATCTTTTTTTTCGTTTCCGTAAAATGGATTTTCCATTTCTGTTTTCTTTATGCTGTCCTTCATTGGTAATCGGTTTTTTCAAACTCCAGCATACAGTTATAAAATAAATTTTCAGACGTTTTATCGAGCTCTCGTCTGCCTTTTTTTCTCTTGTGCCTTGAATCGTAGCTTGGTACGGACTGTGAGCCTTTTAGCTTGTCTTTTCTTATTGCAACTTGGTCATTATTAAATGTGATTATAATAATTAAGAAACGTAAATTTATTTAACGACGAAAAAACTCCTGTTTTTTCTGGAAAACATTTTATTTGCATATTTTTTCGCTTTTTTAATTCTGTTTATTTGTTGAACGTCAGGTGACATTGGTTACATATTTGTCGTCATTTTTTTTTGTTAATAGTATACATCGTTTTGTAATTTCGCCTTTTTAGTAACACTCACATTACTGATGACGCGTTTAGGTTGTAACGCAGTATATATTGGAATTGTGTTTTGTATAAGCTCTCTAGCAATTTCATTTTGAAGACTAGATGGTTGTGGGAGCTGGTGATGCAAATGATAAAGTTGCGTTATCTGAGGAGGATGAGAAAAGGAAACATCTGATTACTCGGGATTTGCAGGTATTTTTTTGGGCTGTTTTTACTTATATAGTTTGTTGTGACGTTTCCGTTTTTGTCTTAGGAAATTCTCGGACTTGAAAAATTAGTAAAGCAAATCAGTAGTGGTAAGACGATTCACATATATTGGGGGACTGCAACAACTGGAAGACCTCATGTTGGATACTTTGTCCCGATGCGGAAAATTGCGGATTTCCTAAAAGCTGGTTTGAAAGTAGGAGTTTTTAAAGCAGTAAACTTTTTTGTCCTTGCTTTAATTTACATTTACTTATACGGCACCTTTGCATTTTGGCTTTATCGCTTATTTATATGTGTGAAAGTCGACAAGAATGTTCTAAAATGCTGTACTAAGGTTCTTTATTACTTATTTTCGCGTCTTCAGGTTACCATTTTGTTTGCGGACCTTCACGCGTTTTTAGATAATATGAAAAGCACATGGGAACTGTTAGAAAATCGTGTCATGTATTATGAGCACGTTATTAAAGCACTTTTAACAGCTTTCAATGTCCCGATTGAGAAACTTCATTTTGTTCGTGGCACGTCTTACGAACTTACTAGGTAGTTTTAAATACTCACTTTTCTTCTAATGGACTTATTTTTCCTTCAAAAGTCTGCTTTCTGGAACATAACACTGCCTTTTTTAATCTTCTGCTGTAATCTTCCTGTTTATCCAAAGTGCTTCAGGGAATATACTTCCGACATATTGAGATTGGCTAATGAAGTTTCAAGAAGAGATGCATTACGTGCAGGGGCTGAAGTTGTTAAACAGGTTTGTATTTACAGAGGACTTATTTATGGTTATTTGAAAGCGGGGATTTATTTCTTTTAAATGCATATTTTTATCATAATGTTTGTTCTGTTCAGGTCGCTTCGCCGTTACTAAGCGGTTTACTGTACCCCCTTTGCCAAGCAGTTGATGAGCAGTATCTGAAAGTTGATGGCGAATTTGGTGGCGTAGATCAAAGAAAAATATTTATTTTAGCAGAGGAGCAGCTACCAAAAATTAAATTAGGAAAACGTTTCCATTTGATGAACGCAATGGTTCCTGGCCTGCATGGTTCCAAGATGAGCAGGTGATTTACACCTAATTTTCGTTTTTTTGGTGCTTTAGAAACGGTACCAGCATTTATAGCTGCTTCATCAGTGGTTGAATTACTAGTCTTACTATTTATGTTTCTTCAGTCAGATATTTCGTTACGTCTCTCCTATAATTAACCCTTCAGTCGTGTGCTATACTTTTTTGCATACTTTATTTACTTTACCTCACATGTGCTAAATTGCTTAACCTTTTATTCGTTTTCCCTCTTGTCGCTGTTTCAAGAGTTCGAGTTTTTACTGGCACTGGATGTTTCTTATGATTTCTTTTTTTATATTTGTAAGTGTTTTCTCCCCCATAAAAATTGCAGTTTTCAGTTCTGAAGAGGGTTCAAAGATTGATCTTTTGGATCCACCAGAAGTTGTTGCCGCTAAAATTAATAGCGCTTTGTGCGAAAAAAACTCAGACGAGAATGGCGTTCTAGCTTTTTATGAGTTTATTTTGTTCCCGATAATGGTTCAGCATTCTGTAGTGGTTGGCAATAGACCGTATAACTACTACCGAGACTTGAAAAGCGATTTCGAGAACAACAAAATTAGTGAGACGGATTTGAAAGAAACTCTAAAGGTTTAGTTTATTTGAGTTTAAAAAGTGATAGCATAGAGTTTTCTGAGCTTCTTTACAATTTGTATTTTATAAAAATATTTTTCTTTTCCGTGCTTTGGAATCCTTCGTTGAAAATGAAAGAAAAACAGAAACTAAGTTTTTTGGTGGCGTAGTGGTAGTGCAGTGATTAATGCAAGGATTTCGAAGTTGGAAAAGGAAGTTCAACTCTCTGCATATCTCTAATGTTCCTTCATCAATGTTATGATGTTGTGTTCTTCGCGGATATGCAAGATAGTAGGTTGCCGTACTATGTCATTTGTCTCTTCTGAGATGAATGAATATGCTGTACTCGACATTTTTCAGCTAATCTAGTTATTTGTCTTAGGGATCTAGGGTTGTAGCAGTTTGACTTAGCTACTGAACTCAGTTTGCTGTTGGTGTTTTAGAAGTTTCTGTGTGACATTTTGGCGATTGTTCAAAAACAGTGTTGTAATGAGGAGATGCAAATGATAATTGAGAAGGCTTATTCTGAGTCTCAATCCAAACCAGCTTCCAAAACGTCGAAGGACATGGAAGAACCTTGCTTACCTTCAGATCTCGCTGACATATATCAGAGAATTGTTGGGAAGTCTAAGGTTTGTTAAACTGGTAAAATATTGGGTTCAGAAAGACCTTTCTGCCTTCGTTTTTTCTAAATTCTTATTTGAAACCGTAACACACTTCCTTTTGGTTTTTGCAACATATGGTAAAAGGGTTTTTCTCATTGATTTATACCCTTTGTCTGAATCGTAAAGTCACAAGCTACCTTTGCTTAAACCTCTAATTCTTCTTCATTTTCAGGTTTTGGACGAACTACGTGTGAAGTCAAAAATTGCATTTGGTGAACCGCTAAAAATTCTCTTTATGGTTGGGCCCAAAGGGCGTTTTCACCTTGGATTTATCATGCCCTTGCTGAAAATTCGGGTATTCAATCGATTCTTACCTTATTTTTCGATGGTAACTGTAGCTGAAAACTTGTCGTTATCATTGTAGGATATTCAACGGATAATTAAGTGTAATATTACTGTAGTGATAAGCGATATTGAAGCTTTTATTGATAACGGGAAGTGTGCATGGACGGTTCGAGATGGCCGCAGTAATTACTACAAAGTCGTTTTAAATCAGCTTTTTGATGCTCTAGGGATTAAGGATGTCACAGTGCTTCAGGGTTCTGCTCATCAGCTTGAACCGTGCGTGAGCTTTTTAGCATTTAACATTCATTCTATAGTTTTATTGGACCTATTTGCTCTTCCATTTTGTTGTGTCGTTGTCTTATCAGTTTGTTCCGCCTTCTAGAGATTATACTTTGGAGATGTACAAAATGGCTTCTAAAGTCACTCGTGATGATGCAGCTTTGCTGGATGGAACATCCTTAGCAACCCTTCTTTCGCCACTTTACTTCACTATCGAGCAGTATCATCAAAACGCTGATTTAGTTGTTATGGGAGAAGACATGCAGCGCTTTGCATTGCTTGCTTCAGAAGTGAACTTTATTGCTTGTTTGAGAAATCAGCCGTTTGAACATTTTGCTCCTCCTGGTCTTCTAAACTTCAATTTCAGTTGATTAGACGTCAAGGGAAAGATCCACGAACGCAAATGCTTGTGCCAGTTCTCCCGGCAATGTCAGGAAATAAAATGTCTGCAACAGATCCAGAATTCCATCTTGATTTTTGTGATACTGCTAAGCAAGTGAGGCAAAAGATCGGTCGTTCCTTTTGCGAACCTGGCAATGTGAAGAACAACGTTGCTTTGCGTTTGGCAGAAATGTTTGTTTTTCCTGTGATTAACAAAGGCAAGTTATAAAAATTTTCTTTTAAATTTTTTTTTGTTATACGTCGTCAGCTTTTATTGCTAAGATTAGCTCGTGGTTTACTTTTTTTTTTTTTGTTTTTGGTGATACCTCTGGTAACAGGTATTATAATCCACAATTCTTAACGCGTATGTGATAAGATTGTGATATATGTTTTGCATCTTTTCAGAGTTAGTTATCAAGCGAACTGCAGAAAATGGAGGTGATATTACGGTTGTAAATTACAGTGATTTGGAGAATATTTTTGCCAGTGAACGGTTACATCCTGGTGATTTAAAAAGTGCTGTAATTGAAGTTGTGAATGATTTTTTTAACAAATTCAGAGCCATTCCCGATTTGCAAAAAGTGTTATCTGCTGCATTTCCTGTAGTAAAAGGGGGTAAAAAACAGCAAACAAAAAAATGATCACTTTTTTGATTTGAAAATTTAATATTTTATTTTATTTTATTTTATTTTTTTTTGTTTTTGTTGGTAAATTTATTATAACGCTGTTATGGTTTAATGAAATATGAGATAATGTGGCATTTTCAATAATCGGCTTCTGTTTTCTTGTATCTATGATAATTTAAGCTATGGTGATTGAAATTTTTGTGGGTCAAAGTCAGTTAACTTCATCGTAGTGCTTATGGTAAGAGGAGCTTGAAGTTTGAAATTTTTTTGATGCTGGTTTTTATCTTGAATACCTTTTTTTTGGTTTCTTAAGAGAAGCTTGAAGTTTGAAATTTTTTTATGCTGGTTTTTATCTTGAATACCTTCTTTTTGGTTTTTTAATAATTTTTGACGGTATATGTATCTCTTTGTTGATTTTTGGGCTAATCTTGTTGTTAGTAATTGTTATTTTGCGCCGGCTTTTGGGAGTATTCCTGATGTTTATTTAAATTATGCAACTGTTTATAGAGTTGCGGTCAAGTTTTCAACTTTATATTTTATTTGAAAATAGCTTTAAAGAGTTCATTAAAGATTGAAGGTGCACGAATTTCTTTACGCTTTTACATAGCTACCTTTCTTAGCGTCCAGTTTCACTGCAAGTTTGCAGCCAAAAATTGTTTTATTGCATCCACTTTCAGATAGCTTTTTATGGTGGCAGAAAGGTTTATAATCCAAAGAAAGGATTTTGGCAACAGTAACTTCGTTCACTGCTGGTTGCTGGTGGGGCGGGTGGTTTTTTGGTTTTTGGAACTGATGGCATAGTATTTAGCTTTAGGAGTTGAGGTGGTGAAGACAATGGGGAAAGAAAGAAAAAAAGTTGTCCTTCCTAGAGGCTCAGTAAGCATTGACTTATAAGGAAGAGAAGGATGGGGAAAAATGGTTTTTATTGATATTTCTCTGCTTTCTGCACCGTTTCTCTTAGTGAGAAGTAATTTGAAGGAATACTTGTGAAATCGTTTTTGTTAAGCACTTTCGGAACAGCTGAGTTTAAATTATGGTTTCATCGAACAGTTTTTTTTTGGTCAGCTAGTCCAAAGAAGTAAGATTTGTATCTCTTTTTCTTTTGATATTTGTATCGTAGTTAGTGTTGTGATTGATAATCACTGGTGTCAAACAGCAGTTACACAGCACTTACATTAGGTTAATGGCAAATGCGTTGGGTTCGATGATTTGGAGTATGAAAAATGTTTATAAACTGTTATTAGTCAATATTTACGCTTGACAGGTTACTTTTACTCTCTGTTCTCTTATGAAGCAATTGTTTATCATTTTGCTGAACTGTTGAACTATACATTAATTCAACACTGTTTGTGATAAGTTTTTCTTGTAACTGAAGAGCCATTTCAACCTTTTTGGCCTGAATTTTTTTTGAGGCGTGAAGGCTATCGTATGGTACTAATGAAGACTCTGCTAACAATGACCACTGTTTGATGCGTAACTGTGCAAAAATGATTCACGCTTTTTATCTTAAGTTTCATCTGGGTCAAGAAATTATGCTTTGTGTCTTTCACGGATAAAGTTTCTTTGGCTGACTTACTGGGAGCAATAACTAGTCCAATTTGGAGAAAAGAGCTTTTTTTACCGCAGCTATAACAAAAAATCGAAGATAGTTTACATTAAGTGCATGAAATCTTTTTTTACTCTGTACAACATTACTTATATTTCTCAGCAATTTTCAGCAAGCGAAAACAGTAAATAAATTTTTTTTTTGCATATAAAGGCCTCATATTTTTTTGACATGTACTTTTTAAACTTTTTCTTCTAATATTTTTGCTATTATTTTATTGAAGTAAAGGAAGAAGGAAAGTGTTGAATATAAAAAAAAAATTACACTAGAATTAAAATAAAACAAAAAGCAGTAATAAATATGCTTGTTGATTGATTTTTTAAAGATATTTTTGTGAAACAAAGTATTTCTGTTCGTAAAGGTTTTCAGTCTTAAGGATGCTTACCCAGATAATGCTTACGTATTATCGCTTATTCTTTTGAATGTTAATTTTTCAGCGATATACGGGTCGTTGATAAAGTTGCTTACATCTGTCATTCTGACTTATTGGCAGAACGGTAAACAGAAAGAAAGACTGGAAAAAAAAAAAAA